CTTTCCATGACTGAATGAGCACAACAAAATATAGCGCATTTTTCCAAACTGTCGGAAAATTCAAAATAACGATATCGTGAATTCATCCAATTTAAAATCTATTCTATTCTTACTGACGTTTCGGACGTTAATCCTTCGTCGGAGTAAATCGGACGAAGGATTAACGTCCGAAACGTCAGTAAGTTATTTCACATACTTTTTTACGGTGTTAAATTTATCTTTTTACATAACTGTTTCACTATGATAGCTTGCGTATCATCACGTGAACTAGGATTTGTTAAATTTAATTGCACCTTAAGAGGTCCATCCTCCATCCTCGGAGATAGCTTGCAACACTTATTACTCCACTGCCAGACTTGACGAACAAGCTTACTCATGGAACAAGAACAAGACCATGCTTTCAGTAACGTGACATAACAAGCCTTTAGGTCCTCCGACACATTCTGAAAATCCTAAGGTTTATACCTTCACCTGATTCGCGTGCCGGATTTTGTATCACATTTTAATTGTAAATTAGCGAATTCGAAAGACCTATCGTCGATTCAGTGGTAAAATAAAAATGTGATAATAAGAATATCCCATATTGTGTGGACAATACTCGCAACAAATGGTGTATTTTGACAACGTTTAAGAAAAAAAGACATCAAAGAAAAAGACATYCGCCATCTTGATACTTTTAACCAAGATGCAAATCGAAAAAAGACAAAACATGACGTGTGATGGCCATTATAACCACATTTAGGATTGCTGTAGGACTACGCCAACTTCAATGCTGAGTTTTATTATTATTAACAGAAAATAACAATTATTCAAGTAGYAATCAATGCTTTCTCAGCATCAATAAATACGACGTTAACTTTGAAGTCTTCACTTGTCCACTTCATCTTTTTCCTGAAATAACCAAAGATACAKTAGTTTATGCGGGGGTGACTCATCATATTTTTGGCGCTGATTCATTTTACCGTTCTAACTACAGGATATCATCTTTTAAGAAAACATGCTGTAAATAGTCAATGTGAAGCGAGGCCATTTTGTACAGCAAAGCATGATGGGAGATGCAATCCTAGATAAAAATTCGATAAAATAGCAAAATCCTTTTTGACATACCAGGTTTCCATGGTGATATAGTAATAAATGTATTTGGAAGCTCCAAATCCATTGAAGTTACTGGCCACTGAATTTGTATATGCTCCAAAGTCCTTAAAGTACAACCAGTCACCTACAGACAACTATAGAAAAACGAGAGGTTGCAGAGTTGCTATTTTTGTTTTTAGTATGGATCTTGATAAACATTAGAAATATCAACACAAGAAATGTTGGACGTTTCAATGACATCCTGACATCATTTTCAACAACTGAATTTATTGACAGATCAACAGGGAATTATATTGGCAAAGTGAATATTAAAGGGTTATTAACCGAGCACGAGGTCTGTACGGGAAAATATCAGACCGAGGTCTTAACAGACCGAGTTCTGATATTTTTCCGTACAGATCGAGCAAGCGAGGTTAATAACTCGTTTATTATATGACTTTTACATCGTAGATTATGTAGAAGAATTACTCAAAGTATATAGTAAAAGTCTCAATGGTCAACTTGCAGCCCGTTGCCTCCCTCTATCTGATGGCAACGCTTTTCTCAAATATCTTATCTCACGATATGAGTAAAATGACATGGAAATCATCATATTTTCAGTAATTGTCGGCTAAAAAGACGGGGATTTTGGCTCCTTGTTTCATAGATTCAGTTTATTTTCATACACAAATACATTA